GGGTAGAGAGAAAATCTTTAAAAACAAAAGTTCTACTTAAATATATATGAAATTCTATCCAACAGAAGAAGTTCTTCTAACATAAAAGTTCTTTATATTTAATTAATGTAATGTGTATTACTCATTAATTTATATTTTTCTGGTATATAATACAAAGAAATAATTTCAGAATTAATTTTTTTTAAAATTACCCTGAATATTTATTGAGGGGCAAACGAAGTACATTATAATGAGAAACCTTTGCTCCATTCGTTCTTTTTCAAAGCTATTATTCCTTATTTAATTGTTGTCCTTGAAGAATTTTAAACGTTTACTCAAAATATGTCATCAAAAAAGATGTTGACATGCGTCATCTCCTTAAAAGTCAATGTTTGTGCTTCTAGGTGAAATAAGAAAGATCCTTTTTCAAAACACACAAAAAATGCGCAAAATCATGAGTGACTAATATTGAATGTAATATCTAACATTATATATTTCAATACTAGCCAATGTACCATTCTTTTCTTGGGTTTGTATATAGGGGGACAAAAACAACTTCTAATGCGTTATCTGCGTACACGTAGCTTAAGGGCCCTGTGAGAATCACGTCACCACCATTTAAATACCAGTTAAGTCGTTTTTTTGTTTGTTTTTTTTTAACTTTCCCGTAAAAAAAAGATTTGTAATATTTCTGTAGACATTGAATTAATGGAAAAATCCCTTTTCATGTGATATCCAACCTGAGCACAGCCAAACACCAAGATTTAAAGACATATCAAACCTTCAAAAAGGTATATTTTTTAAAAAAAAGGTGTTCATCAAAATCAAATCTATTGTGCTTTATCAATTTAAACAATGAAATACCCATTCAAACTTTGTTTGTTTTAATCTTCCCTGTGAAAGGGACGCTTTAAAAATCATTCAGACAAATATTCAATTTTATTTTTTTTATTTTTTTTTAGGTTGGATAACGAACCAAATATTTGCTCAATTGTCCCAGGAAATTCCGATGAAAACGTCAGATATCAAACTTTAACTAAAAAAACAAAATTGACCTGTACTAAAGATGTTGATATTACTATTTTGAAATCAGCTATTTTTTTTTTAGGATTTCATGAAAGGTATGCCAAGATTCAACAATATACGACTCTTGCATGTTAACATAAACCATCTCCTATAGCTTTGTCTATATTAAGGAATATATATTATCCGAACATTCTACAGTTATTTGGAACTTTCTTGAAACTTAAAAAATACATTTAAATATAATTTAACAACACTTGAGAAAATGATAGAGATTTTAAGGAAATATAAAAACATGAAAAGGACATTCATATAACTTTTAAAACCTCTTTTTTTTTGTATCTAAATTTTAGAATTACGTAGAGACTTCAACAACAAAAAAAAACTTAAAGGAAGTCAATGGAAAAGTCGGAATGGGCTGACACCAAAAGTTTACCACTCTTGTTAACACCAACACCAGTGTTGCTACTGGGCTTTCGATAAAATATGCAACTAGGCGAAATGGCGTGTACAGCACGAGACGTGACCAAAGGATAGCTGCCAGGTCACTAAGTATTCAAAGAGAGATGTGGGCTTATGCTAGCTGCCAGGTCACTAAGTATTCAAAGAGAGACGTCAGCTTATGCTGGCTGCCAGAGCACTACGTATACAACGTGAGACGTGAGCTTATCCTAGCTACCAAGCCACTACGTATATAACGAGAGACGTGAGCTCATGCTAGCTGCCAAGCCGCTACGTATATAACGAGAGACGTGAGCTCATGCTAGCTGCCAACCCACTACGTATACAACGAGAGACGTGAGCTCATGCTAGCTGCCAGAGCCACTACGTATACAACGAGAGACGTGAGCTTATGCTAGCTGCCAAGCCACTTGTAGACACGGCCACTAGAGTGAGTTTCTAATTAACATTGGCCAGGTTCAGTGTTGCTAAAAAATAATTTCTTTAAAAGGCTAATTTAATTTTACCCTTTATTAACCCCCTAAGACGTTGAATTTTACCCTATTTGTGTTCATTTACTCAAGTTTTCTGACCAATGATTTAGTTTCACTGGCCATATTTAAAATACTGAGATATAACGCACTTGCCTCTAAGTAATACATAACATTTCTGAGATTTCTTCTTCTTCTTCTGTCCCCTTTTACCATTGAGGCGTCGCGGGCATGTTAAAGTTAACTGATTGCCGGAGGTTTATGTTGTGGCTTCTTAGTGATTCCCAAATGTAGTCAATTCAATGACGACCCTGTCTTCCTCTGGTCCTGAGACCGGTTCGCCTACTAGTGTGTGATTGCAATGCGTGTCATTTTAACAGCTATTCTATTCAGGTGGTCAAAGCAAATAATTATTTTTTTTTTTTTTTTTTTTTTTTTTGGGGGGGGGGGGGTGGTGGGGTTATATTCTGGCTGATTGGGATGGCACAAACCAACTTATTTTTACTGATTCCTAATGTGGTCTCTTCTTGTTTTAACAGCTGCTCGTCTCTTACATCTGTTATGGCATCTTTAAAGGCATAATTTGTTGGCGTTGTGGCTACAAACCACGTGAATCCTTTTTGTTTTGTTTTGATACTGATTTGACTTCACTGATGGACATGTACCTGGCCACTCACTTTTTACCCAACCCTCCATTGATTTGGGAAAAGGTTGTTGACGTTGGAATAAGTTCTATTTGTTCTAAAGAATGCTATTAGATGAGGCAATTTCAAAAATCCTTTTTGTAGAGGTTTCTGATTTAATCCTTATACTATATAGGCCGGCAGCTTTCCGAGGCGAGGTAGACGTTTACGAGACGTGATATACTTGCAAGATTGTACTGTTTATGTGTGTGTGTAAATTAATATTTGTAGCTTTTCCACTTCCTATGTTTTAATTTGAATATTTTTTTTGTGTTTCTCTTTTTGAATTTTGTATTTTTATGGAAATTTAGCAGTATAATTAAATTGAATATTGTTAGTATCACTAAATGGTGTATCTTTTTTCTTTATACATCGGTTTTTGGTCTTTTGTTACGTAATGTTCATTTAACGAAGTAATCTCTTAGAAAAGACTGACTTTTCAAATAGCACATAGCGCCATGTAACAACATTACTCGCAGGTCAATTTTTTTTTTATTGAGACTTTAATTCAGAGTCCAGATTCAACATACGTTATAAATAGTAAAGACAGCGTTAGGTAGTCTGGCTTTGCTCTCCATATTTTTTTTTTTTTTTTTTGTGTCTAAGAAGAACTTTTTTTTAACAATTGCCTTCAGGTTGGGGAGAGAAAGTTTTGTTTTGAGTTTAAAAACATTTGTTCCCCTTTGTGTTGCTCTTTTCAATTGTAAATTAAATCTAAGCCAATTACTTAAGTTGTTGAAATACTTGCTGTTTCTTCTTGATCATTCATTTTTCCGGGCTGCTGAGGTAGGCTGGTAGCCAACACTTTCTCCTTGTATTGTACTGTATTTCTTTCTATTTTAATTTTCCACACACCTTGTTCTAATATTTCAATTAAAATTTCCCGTGGATTTCCTGTAATGTTCTGTACATTTTCACGGTAATTTGTCTCTTCTTTTTTCTTTCTTTCGTATTTTATAATTATCTGATCATTTTCTAAAATATAATGTATGGTATCAAAGAAACTATACTTTGTACTATCGTAATAAATAAAGATATTTTAGACTCCTATCCACGATTGTTTTTTATTTACCTTCATCAAGTTTGATTAAAAATAAATAAATGCCGATGCAAAGATTTTTTTTTTCTTTTCTAGTGACTAAAATAATATTCGCAAATAAGAAAAAAATGGGTTGGTGGCGGGGGGGGGGAGGGAATCATCTCTAAATAATGAATGAAACTCAATAGTCATTGGCTATTATAGAAACACCGAATTAATCTTATCTTTTCTAGTGACTAAAATAATATTCGCAAATAAGAAAAAAATGGGTTGGTGGCGGGGGGGGGGGGAGGGAATCATCTCTAAATAATGAATGAAACTCAATAGTCATTGGCTATTATAGAAACACCGAATTAATCTTCTTCTTCTTCCTCTGTCAACTTGTATTGGGTGTGAGGCTTGTTGGGGATGGGGTCATGTTGTGAATTTCTAAAAAAATTTTAACACCCCCAAATATTTTTTCTCTTATTCTTTTCGGCGATAGTTCTTCTTATTGAATTAAAGCACTTAAACTTAAAGTGACATGTGCCAGATGGATTTTGAGGCTGATTGGCCAACGATAGCTCTTCTTGAATCATGGCCCTTAAACTTAAAGTGACATGTGCCAGATGGATTTTGAGGCTGATTGGCCAACGATAGCTCTTCTTGAATCAAAGCACTTAAACTTAAAGTGACATGTGCCAGATTGATTTTCAGGCTGTTTGGCCAACGATAGCTCTTCTTGAATCAAAGCACTTAAACTTAAAGTGACATGTGCCAGATGGATTTTGAGGCTGATTGGCAAATCCTGCAGCAGTGAAGAAGGTTCAATGATTACAGGAAAGTAATTAGAGAAGCTGCTTGATTCACCTTTTGTCATTTTGGAAAACAATGTCTCAGAATTTTGTCTAAGGCTAAGGTTGTCAAGTGCGTTGCCAAGCCAAGTGGGCTTCCAGGTCACGTGTCTGGATTTGAACCGGATAGTCCAAAATGTTAGCAGACAGTTCGGAGAAAAATAAAAGTTTATACCTGAATTTATATTTATATTTATATATACCGTAATATAGGAACCAATCCCCGGCTTCATTACAGCTCCAGGAATTGTAAGGGTGATGAGCTGTCCAGCGACTTTTAAAAAACTATATTGCAAAAAAAACTATAACCTTTAAGTGTTCATCAACTATGGCTAATAGTTTACACGCTTTTCTAACCTTAAAGAGTCCCTCATCCGTGGGTCGTAAACCAAAACGTTATTCATATAGTGTTCATTATTTATTGGAATTGCTTAGTTAATTAATTTAAATGTATCGAAACATTAAATCCGATGCCTTTTTTTATTTTAAAAAGCAAATGAAATTGATGATTAGGTTTAAAACATTCTTTAAATTATTGCTTAATTTCACTTGGCCGAAATCTAATTTGGTTTTGATTGAAATCGGACATTTCAAAAAGAAAATATACTTGTCAAAATGATGCTCTGTTTCAGGATTCAGTTCCTTCTTAATTTTGCCAATGACGTTCTTTGACGTAAATTTTCGAGGCCTGCTACCCGTAATTTCAGTTTCATTTTTTTCTTCCATTAAAACTGAAGTTTTTGTCAACTGTTTATTGTATTTTACAATATGGGTCAAAGATAGATTTCTTATCGAACATAGCAATGAAATTCCCTCTCATTGGAATGAATTTTCAAACAAAGATCAATTTATTTTGTCTCCCCCCCATAAAAAAAAAAACAATTATGAAAGAACCCTTCACTTCTTGATATCTCCTTTATCCCATCCCATGATGGCCCGCAGTCGAACTCTGAACTTAGTACTCATCCTATAATAAACTATGATGCTTATGCTACAGTTGACGGTCTCCATGAAGAAAGCGACGGACCCCACGAGTAGGACCAAGTTCCAGTAAGGACCGTTGATGCTCATCCCGGGGACGAGCGCCCGCGCCGTGAGAATCGCCGAAAACGGGAAGAAACATATGATGAAGATAACCGACACCGTCGTGATCATGACCATGACCTTGCGCTCCTTGCTCGGAATCCCTTTACCGGTGACCTCCGAAGAGCTGGACGCCGACCTCCTCCACGCGACCTTCGTGTGTAACGTCACAACAATGACCACGGTGCAGACGACCACGCTGAAGAACGCGAAGACCGGCACCAGGAGATCGGTCACGAGAAACGAAACTGCGAACACGGCGTCTTTGTTGGGTCGGTACAGTATCCCGAAGACGGTTCTGTTTCGCGACTTGACGAATTTCCAGTCGTAGTAGGTCATGTAGTAGTTGGGGAACACGTTGAGCACCATCAGCGAGTAGACGGACACGTTGAAGATCACGGCCACCCGTTTCGTGAGGATCTGCTTGATCTTCAGCGGGAGCGCGACGCAGAGGCAGCGCTCGAAAGCCACGAAAGCGGTGATGAACCCGCGGACCCGCGTGAAGTAGTTGTGCGGGTAGAATGCCGTCAGGCTCTGCAGCTCGAGCGGCAGGAACGGCAGGTCGGCCCTGGCGAACCAGGGGTTGACCATCACGTTGTACAGCTGGAGGGTGACCAGCGCGCCGAGGTCACTCACGGCCAGGGCGGTCAGGCTGATGTTGACCGTGTCATGGAACCCCTCGCTGACGAACACGGTGAGGGTGATGATGTTGGCGACGATGCCCGCGAGACCGACCAACTCGCCGAGAACGTCGAGGTTGACGAGCAGGACGATGTCAAGCACCGCCTGGCTGACCATTCCAACCGTAGATACAACGATTGTAACTGTTCCGTTGCTAACAACGGTCGATGTGTCAATGACTGCACAGGTACTTTCGTTAAATTTCATCATCTCAAATTTAAAAAAAAATAAAAAATTTTCTTCAGGCCCACAAGGATTCGAAAAACTGCACGGTGATGTTTGGGTCCTCTTGATTAAACCATTAACACATTTTATACGCTTTAAAGCATATTCCTGTAACTCTCTAAAGTAGATTGCAGAACAGCAATTCAGATTTGTTTTTCGTTTTTTAACATGGCTTTGATTCTATTCATCAATACTTTTTTTTTTCTTTGGCTCCCTGCTACGACTGGCGGGTATAATGAACCGATAATTAATCTGCCAATATTTGCACTCTGGCGCTACACGAGAACCTGCAAGACTTCCGTGTTTCGGAGATGAAACTAGTTTATCTTCCAAATACCAATAAACTGACACACAGGAATCAATTTCCATCATCGTAGGGGTGGGGTGGAAGTTATTTGATTCCTAACAAATGCACTGCCTTTGTTTAACACCCGAGATTTGATCATAATTTATTTTAATTACAAAGTTTAACTTGCAAACCTTAACGAGCTGAATTTTTTTATTTTTTTTTTTTTTTTTGCTTTCAGGCATCAAACGAGAAAACGGTAAAGGACAAATAGCGAACTTTAAAAATTACGTCTTTTATTGATCTCTTCCCTAGTATTTGTCAATGACATCCTAATATAATTTTCAACATATATTTTTAAAGAGTTAACGAGTTTAATTTAATTTCCTTTAGTGGTAAATTTTCTGTAATTTCAAAATAAACTAGTGACCAACAATTTTGTGTCATTTTTGGTCTTCATTTAATTCAAATTCAAACTAAATTTAATTTTTCTTAGAAGTTTCAATATTTACGTGTGTTAGAAAGAGCTCATTTCGATTCCGAACATCGTATTATATTTTTTTTGTATGCATATACAATTTTTTTCTTCAAATTCTGAAATTTTTTAAATAACATTATCAATCATTAAATAACGAGTTAACTGTTTATTTGTTGTTTTTTTTAAAGAAATATCTTCTATTGTACACTAGATCGTATCAGCATATATTCCTGATGCTGTTATCGTGCGCATGTGTGTAGTAAGCCTTTGGTTCCTCTTATGACTGTGTGAATCGCGACATCATATTAAGAGATCTTTATTTCTAATCGCGTTGTGGTTGGTGTGTCCGTTAGCATGCTGACTAAAGCGGTGCTGCCATCGACCCCCCCCCCCGTGCTACCCAGATGATATAATAAAAAAATGGCGTTATTCTGCGTGGGCGCGCACTATATCTGCCGATAGTGTAGTAACTACACTCTGCACGTTAGCCCTTGCCAATTTGTCATATTTGCCGTTGAAGTAACGACAGAAACAAGTTAGGGATCATGTTTACTAAGTTGCCGACAACGAATATGAGGCATTAGGATTGTAGTGGCAGCATCACTCTAATAATTCTATACACACAGCCATTGTGGAGGATGTTTCAAGGCAACCACTTTGTCCCCGCTACTTCGTCCACTACTAACGAGGCAGCAAGCCCACTGTATAAAATCTGATTAGAGGGAGTCCAACGTTTCTCAGGGATTGGCCCCAAAAAAATAGGGGATGGGGGTCATAGTAGTTGCCACCGTAAAGCTAGTCAATCGAGTGAAGTTACAGGCGGTGACAGTCCTAGCAGGATGAGATCTCCAGTGTGCCGCTTCGCAGTACGATAGTAAGGGGACTTTTTCGGGCTTGGAAGGAGAGCAGGAGGCACTTGAGAATCAAAAGCTTTGGGTCGACCATTCCCTGCCGCCATTTGCCTAAATCTACGTATGAGGGAAACACATAACATGTCCATGCTCATCCAAAAACATGTATGTTAACTTTTTAATGACACGGACAATGAGTTGTCAGACGTTTACGTGTTTTCAAATGCCACATTGGAATGATACCGTGAATGCAACCAGCATTATTAAAATCTTTCAATGGATTTTTTGTTATGTGATCAATAGTAGTTGAAATCCAAATATTATTGTAATGAATTACTTTATGCGTATTCATTCGTTTTTTTTTTTTTGTATAGATTTGTTAATGCTGATATTTCCTACGAAAATGATTACGTTTTATATTTATTCAGTAGATTCCAAAAAAACAACCGAAAATAACCCAAAAAAACGACGAATTTGTAACAAAAGAACATTTTAAAATTCACGAACGTTTAGACGCCTGCGACACGTTGCGTGGGTTTGAAACCGGAAGAAGCATCTAGTGTATGAACTTTGACCTAAAGAAAAGTAAATCATTAAAAAAAAAAAAAAAAAAATTAATTCCTCTACCATCTGACAGATAATATCTTCTTAAATAATGAAAAGAAATATAGCGTCGACTTTAATAAAGGAAGCTGTTACCGAAGTCTTAAAGTGCGAGATCTTTCTTAACGTTGCGTGGGTTTGAAACCGGAAGAAGCATCTAGTGTATGAACTTTGACCTAAAGAAAAGTAAATCATTAAAAAAAAAAAAAAAAAAAATTAATTCCTCTACCATCTGACAGATAATATCTTCTTAAATACTGAAAAGAAATATAGCGTCGACTTTAATAAAGGAAGCTGTTACCGAAGTCTTAAAGTGCGAGATCTTTCTTTAACTAACTACGTCATGCACACAGATTTTAAACGCCTATAAATTTAATTTTTTTTCCCAAGCCGATCCAGTGGCTAAAGTTTTCCAATCCGTTTTAAAGCACAGAAGACGCTGTGAGTTGGGTTGTGTATTTGTGTGTCGGTTCCTTAAGTACTCGACAACTGAAGAGCCCGTTCCTTTAATGCTCGACTACTCTAGACCACATTTCTTTAGTACTCGAATACTAAAGAGCCATCTCCTTTAGTACTCTACGGCTCAAGGACACGTTCCTATAATGCTCGACTACTCAAGGGCCCATTCCTTTAGTACTCGACTTCTTAATGGACCATTCCTTTAGTACTCGACTACTCAAGAGCCGTGCTCTTGGGTTGACTACTCCGAGTGTGGAGTGGAGACGAGTAGTTGCTGTGATACGATGGTGAACCGATGGGATCGAATCTTTCGTCGTAAGGGAATGGGGGCTGATCTGTAAGGAACAGAATATCTCTATTAGCAGACATCAACAGATAGTTAGAGACGAGGGTTGATTTGTGATGAACAGAATATCGCTCTTAGCAGGCATCATGGGAATGAATGGTTAGAGAATAACAGGCTTCGCAGACATCAAAAGAATGGATTGTTAGAGAAGAACAGGCTTAGCAGACATCAAGGGAATGGATGGTTAGAGAATAACAGGCTACGCAAACATCAAGGGAATGGATAGTTAGAGAATAACAGGCTTAGCAGACATCAAGGGAATGAATGGTTAGAGAATAACAGGCTTCGCAGACATCAAGGGAATGGATGGTTAGAGAATAACAGGCTTCACAGACATCAAGGGAATGGATGGTTAGAGAATAACAGGCTTCGCAGGCATCAAAGGAATGGATGTTTAGAGAATAACAGGCTTCGCAGACATCAAAGGAATGGATGGTTAGAGAATAACAGGCTTCGCAGACATCAAGGGAATGGATGGTTAGAGAATAACAGGCTTCGCAGACATCAAGGGAATGGATGGTTAGAGAATAACAGGCTTCGCAGACATCAAGGGGAATGGATGGTTAGAGAATAACAGGCTTCGCAGACATCAAGGGAATGGATGGTTAGAGAATAACAGGCTTCGCAGACATCAAGGGAATGGATGGTTAGAGAATAACAGGCTTCGCAGACATCAAGGAAATGGATGGTTAGAGAATAACAGGCTTCGCAGACATCAAAGGAATGGATGTTTAGAGAATAACAGGCCTCGCAGAAATCAATAGATGTTAAGAGACTGGAATTGAATTTGTGAGGAACAGAACACCACTACTATCAGTCATATGGGGAATATATAGGTTACAAGATAACAGACTTAGATGAAAGTTTGCATGAGTTTCCCTTTTTTTTTTTTGGTCAGGAGAAAAACAAAATTCTGAGTGGATATTTGGAAAGATGGATAAACATAAAGGATGAAATGGTTGGATGGATCTTTGCATGGATGATCTTTCGGTAACTATTTGGATGCGTGGTTATGTTGAAGAATCAGTTCTAACAAAGGAGGGGAGGTTTACTCTTTTTGTATACAGCTCATTAACATGACAATTTTATTTCGTTTCATGTATTTTTTCTGCAATCCAAAATTTAATTTTTTTTTAAAATGGCTTCGTTCACTGATGCTGTTATTACTTCCCACACCCCCCACCGTCTATTTTTTAATTTTTTTTTTTTTGAAACCTTTCTATTATAATTCTATGTGAGTCTGTAGATGTCTGGTTGGTATCTCCTAATTAAACGAGTTCCTTTAATGCTTTTGATCGTATTACCCTTTAGACGTATTATAGTTGCCGGGTTTCTTTGAAGTGTTTTTTTTTCTTTTTAATGTGCACCACATGTATGAAATAGTTTCAATTTAAAATCTTTAAGAAAACAATATAAATAAATAGCTACATGAAAATATATACCTTTAATAAAAAAATTTATTTTTAAAAAAATAACCCATGTTGGACACTAGCTTCTTAGATATTTTTTTTAAAGAAGAGAAAGCCCCCACAGATCTCATCCACTAGTCAACAGCATAGGTACCTGGAGCCATCTTCGGTTTGGACGGCTTGCACAAATAATTCAGGCACACCAAACCGATGAGCGGGAAAAATATGAAGATGTGCAGGAGGCTGGAGGAATGTGATCTCATGGGGTCCTTCACTTTATCGCTGTCCATGGTGGGCGCACGGGTAGTGGTGGCTGAAAAGAATCAGGCTTGAATCGATTGTCCCTAAATGTTTACTTAATGCATTAAAAAAAAATAGAGAGAGATTAAGGTTTTCTTAAAAAGTACAACTATGTTTGTTTTGTTTGTTTGTTGTTGTTTTTTTTGTTTGCTTGTTGTTGTTTTTTTTTGTTTGTTTGTTGTTGTTTTTTTTTCTTTTTTTTTTTTTTTTTTTTTTTTTTTTTTTTTTTTTTTTTTTTT